CTCCCCCGTCCCGGCTCCGAATCTGCAGGCCGCCACCTGCCTCACTCCCAGGGTCTTCCCGCAGGTGGAGCTGAAGAGCCAGGAGGCCGAGAGCCTGCAGCAGCAGCGAGACCAGTACGTGAGCCACCTGCAGCAGTACGTGGCGGCCTATCAGCAGCACGTGGCCGCCTTTCAGCAGCTGGCCTCCGACAAGGAGATGCTGCAAAAGCAGGTGCTGCTGCAGACGCAGCTTATGGACCGGCTGCAGCACGAGGAAGTTCAGGGCAAGGCGGAGGCCGAGATGGCCCGCCAAGAGTTACAGGAGACCCAGGTGAGGGGCTTGGAGCGCCGGGCCCCCGGGGAGGGCCTGCGGCCTGTATCCCTTCTCACTCCTTCCTGGCCCCTCAGGGACGCCTGGAAGCTGCCACCCAGCAGAACCAGCAGCTCCAGGCGCAGCTGAACCTCATGGCTATGCCTGAGGAAGGTAAGCGGGACCTGCCCAGGGAAGAGGACGGAGCCCAAGGAGGAGGAGGGGGGACTTCAGGGCGGCGAATCCTCCTCCTCCTCCGGGGACGCGCTGGCCCAAGGTCGCTCTGGGAGGTGGGGCAGAGCCGGCTTTCCTCCCCTGCCCGCTCCACCTCCCCCGTTGGGTTGTCTGAGGCCCCTCCGGCTGCCTCGACAGGAGACGGACTGGACGGTGAGGAGAAGGACGGGGAGGCAGCCCCGCCAAAGCTGAGCATGCCGGAGGACCTAGATAGCCGCGAGGCCATGGTGAGCGGCCCTTCCCCGTCCCACCTTCCCGCTTCCCTCTGGGGTCCCCCGCCACCCTTCTCTCTTGGTTTGCCCCCCTCGGCTTCTCTTGACCCCCAACCTCCCCCGGGAGCCGGTGGTCCGGCCTTGCGCCGTCCTCGAAGCACCAGGTGTGCCCACCGAGGCAGTGAGAGGAGCTCCTCTCTGCCTCCCCGGCCCCGGCTCGTCCCGAGCTTCTCCCACAAAGGCGCACGCGTACACGTCTTGCCCGCAGGTGGCATTTTGTAACTCGGCCCTAGCCAGTGCCGAGGAGGAGCAGGCGCGGCTGCGCGGGCAGCTGAAGGAGCAGAGGCTGCGCTGCAAGCGCCTGGCTCGCCTGGTGGCCCCTGGGACCACCGAGGACAGCGTGCCTGGGGAGACCCACCAGGCCCTCCAGGTGGCCATGGACAAGCTGCAGGTGAGTGAATCGGCTCCGGCACGGCCCCGGCGGGGGGCGGAGATGGCTAGGGAGGGCTGCCGAGCCCTGATCCCGCTGCTGTGGCCGCAGAGCCGCTTCCTGGAGCTCATGCAGGAGAAAGTGGATCTGAAGGAGCGGGTGGAGGACCTGGAGCATCGCTGCATCCAGCTTTCTGGAGAGACGGACACCATAGGTGAGCGGGCTGGCCAGCCCCCGGGGTCGGGGGAGCTCCGTGAGGGCTCGCAGAGCCTGAGCGTCAGCCGGTCTGCCCCGCAGGAGAGTACATTACCCTCTACCAGAATCAGAGGGCCGTGCTAAAAGAGCGGCACCGGGAGAAAGAGGAGTACATTAGCCGACTGGCTCAGGACAAAGAAGAAATGAAGGTGGGCCCTCAGCGTCCCCGGGAGCAGAGAGGGGGCGGGGTGGTGCCGGGGTAGAGCTGGGGCTCAGCACCTCTCCCTCCAGGTGAAGCTACTGGAGCTGCAGGAGCTGGTGCTCCGTCTGGTGGACGAGCGAAATGAATGGCAGGGCAAGTTCCTAGCCACTGCCCAGAACCCTGCTGGGGAACCCACTACGGCACCCCCAGCCCAAGAGCTTGGCGCTGCCAGTGGCCGGGGTGGTGAGTAGAGCCCGCGGGCGGGCGGGTGGGTGGGCGGTGGGGGAGGGCTTGCACAGGGCTTGCTCAGGGCCCCGCCCCTCTCTCTCCCCGAAGATGATCTTCGAGAAGTGAGCCTGGCCGACAGTGACAGTGCGGAGCCTCCCCAGGGAGAGGCCCTGTCACGCCACACTGGAGCTGAGAACCCCACCGCTCAGCAGATCATGCAGCTGCTGTGTGAGATCCAGAACCCCCGAGAACGCCCAGGCTTGGGCAACAACCCCTGTGTCCCCTTCTTCTACCGGGCCGATGAAAATGATGAGGTGAAGATCACGGTGGTCTAGGAGTTAACACTAGCACACAAAGCCTAGACAAGTGGGGCTGGGGGCTCTGCCCCCAGCCTGTCCCTACCACCCTATCATTCCTTCCCGACCACGCTTTTATCCTTAGACTACCAAGATAAGGCCCTCGAGAGGGGTATGATGAACCCCCTAACGAGGGAGACAAATATGTGTAGACCCCTTGCCACCTTGGCAACGGCTGTATCTTTATCTCTGGGCTGTTCGCAGTTCCAGAAAAACAAAGAGCCAGAGGCTCAATAAATATAGTTTATTTAGGAGGTTGCCTCTTTTGGGGAGCAGGGGCTCCCTGGTGGCCTCCTCGCCCCCATCAGGTAGTCCTTCATTCAGAGGGGCTCATGCATCCTCTCTTCAGAGGCACTTTGGGGCACAAGTGGCCCCCACACTGTCCAGTTAGGTGACTGGGCAGCACTCTCCCAGGCCTTGGGATGTCAGGGCTAACTGAGGCCAAGCAAAGGCGTAAGCTGGTGGCGGGGTGGGCTCCTCCCCAGCTCCCTCCCCAGTGTACATACTTATCTGTGTAACATTTTGTATATTCTGGGGATAGGGCAGCCCCTGTACCATAGCAGAGGTTTGAACTGGCAAATGGGGAGAAACTTCTATTAAATATTTGAATATAGGGAAACTTATTTATTGATAGCATAGGACAGAGAGGAAGGGGGTGGGGACGGGGTCCTGCAGGGGTAATTCGACTCCTGTTTTGCTTTTTATCTCAGAATAAATGGATTTAGCCATACTGCTTGGCCTCGTGTGTGCCTCTTTTCCAGTCACCGGTCACTAGGTCCTGGGGTCTGTGCTGTGGGTGCTGAACAGGGAGCAGGTCCTGCCAGCAGAGGGCAGGCTTCTGGATTGTGCAAAGGCCCGCTGTGTCTGAACCTGCCCAAAGGAGCTGTTAGAGACGGTCCAGCCCTGTCGCCCTCCTGCTGCTTGGGGAAGCCTGGGGGATCTCAGGGGGACTCGAAGGTTGGGGGGGGGGCTCCTGCCCTAATGGCCAAGAGGCTCAGAAGCCTGATCCAATCCTGGGGAGGGGCAAGCAAGGTCCCAGCACTCAAGAGTGCCGACTTCCAGGTCAGGCAGTTTCTGTGGCGTCACCCTGCCCCTCTGGTGGCCTGTTGTCCCGTCCCTCCATAGTGCGTTCCAGTGCCCCCAGTCCTCCCTCCAGGCTGAGTTAGTGGCCCTGCCCCCCTAGTGGGCAGAGCAGGCTTCCTAGAATAAGGACCTGTGAGCCCCCCCGGTGCTTTCCCAGTAGGCCCGGGAAAGGGTGAGGCCTTTCTTTGCCACTCCTCACAGCACACTAGCAATGGCTGGGCCCTTCCCCACCCCTGCATCCCAGGGTTTAAGCCTTCACCTGCTCCTGAACTCCACAAAGAACACAAGCCGACAGAGGACAGTTTCCCATTGTCCAGAAATGGGTTTTATTCTCAGCCAAGAGACAGCAAGACTGGTGGTAGTCAGGGAACCACACAGCTGCCAGTATGGCACCCCCGTGCTCGACTGGGGGAGGGACGGAAAGGTGGCTGTCCACGGGCTGGGCATGATGGGGAGGCTCATCAGAGGTGGCACACGCTGGAGAGGGGGATGTCAGGGTGACAGTGTTCCCTTGTAGTTGGGCCACAAGACTCCTCAGGGACAGCATGGTGATTGATTCCCAACACTAGCGGCGAGGCTGTGGCGGCCGTGTGTGTGTGTGTGTGTGTGTGTGTGTATGTATATATATATGAATATTTATAGATATTTATAGAATGGGGTAGGAGCAATACCACAGAGGGGGCACAAGTTTTCACCAACATCACGCCTGGATGTGTCAGCTCACCACTACAACAGACTAAGTCACAGATGAAGGGGGAGGCTTTGGGGCTGGGGAGCCACTGTCAAGTCACAGAACAGCCGTCCAGGCAGGCTTGGAAAGGGAGGTCTCCGAGGAACAGAGGGATCTGGTTAGAGGTCGAAGGGGGGCCTGGGGCTCTCAGGACGGGATGGACTTGCCTGACCCGATCGGCTGGCAGTTGGAGAGAAAGCAAAGAGAGAACGGAGAGAAGGAGGGAGAGAACTGGTAAGGCAAGCAATGCCAAGCCCGGTGGGGCAGGAGGGGAGGGCAGGGGGAGAAAAGGAAGCTGCGGGTGTGGGCAAGGGTTCTGGAATGGAGGAGAGAGATGAGAAAGGGAAGGTGGGAGAACTGGAGATGAATGGGGGCCACAGCTTCCCCAGAGTCTGGGGTGGAGGTCAAGGCAGCCCCCCCCCCCCCCCCCCCCCCCCCCCCCCGCCACGCACGCTGGTCTCTCATACACCACCAGGCAGTGCACCCACAGCTCCAGACACATGCTCGGCCCCTCTGCCTTCCCTCTTTTTGTGGCCCCCTTGTCTTCCAACGTACTGGCCCAGGGCCACCCCTAGCCTTGGAGTGTGGGGCCGCGTGCCCCGTGGCCACAGCTACCAGTCCTCATGGAGAGAGACAGGAGAAAGAACACTGTTTGAGCCAGGAGGGCGAAGCTAAAAGGATGGCTGGAGGGGGCACTGGATACCCCTCTGGGCGGGCAGAAAGCCCGGAGTCCTCGGAAGGGACCCTGGGGAGGCAGGGAGGTCAGGCAGCCGGATGCCAGTTGGCCACAGGCTTATAAGTCTAAGAGGGGAGCCTCAGCTGGTCGGGGGACCACAGGTCGCGTAGGTGAGGCTGGGCCCTTCCTGCTGGGGAAAAGCAGAAGAGCAAGAGTCAGCGGCAGGGGCAGAGTGACAGGCGGGTCGCTGGGTGAATGTGCGGCCCAGACAGGGTGGGACTCGGAGAAGTTGACTAGGCTCAGGTCAGTGGACACTGTTGTCCCCTTGGCTGAAAAGTGTAGGTCACCCCTAGGGGCAACAGGCCCAAGCCCATGAGCCCGTGGACGGGCTATGGTGCTTTGTCTAGGGCCGAGGACGCTGTGGTTTGTAGTGTGCCTTCACAGGCGTGACAACACCAAGGAGGTAGGGGAAGGGGCCGTGTGACCCTGCCTCACCTGTGAGGTGTGGACAGGGCCCTCCAGCTTTCAGAAATCAGCACATAACCAGAGCCTTGGCCCCAGATTGCTGCTCAATCGCTGGCTATCTGATAGAGGAGATGGGGCTCTGACTTCCTCTGCCCTACCGTGGATTCGGTTCCCAGAGCTCCTTGCCCCAACAGCACAGCTCAGATGGGGGAATGAGCGTGGCATCCCCAGGATGAAGTTCCAAGGCCTCTGGCTGTCTGAGTCCAGCCCCACGCACAACGACGCCCGCCCCCTCCGAGTTCCCTGCCTCTACACCATAAACCGTGAGCTCTCTGCCCTCCCTGACGGCTCCAGAGAGCACCCATGTCTGCCAGCCTGGGTGCGGAGCCTGTCCCAAGAGCTCCCCAGGCTCAGCCATGGAGGTCTTGAGCAGTGGCACTGAGTCCCGAGGCTCGCTGAGAAGGGAGGTGAGAGAGCCAGCTGGCAGCAAGGACAGAAAGAGGAAAGAATAAGTCTGGAGCTGCAGAAGGGAGAGGGAGGGGAGCCTGGCTCTGAGGTCCCGGGTGCGCCCCCCAATGTGGAGCTGGTGCAGCGGGGGGCAGACACACCGTTCATGCAGCAGGCAGAGAGGCATGTATGTACCTACCGTGGCTGACGCTCCTCAGGGGTCACTGATAGTGATTCTGAAAGACAGCACGAAATCAACATGGCAGTTCACACGCACGGACGGGGCAGGCCCGGGGGGTGGGGTCACGCACACGCACACGCCCGGGCGTGCACACACATGCTGTGAGGCCCCCTGGCCCCGCATGCGCACGCTGACACATGCCCACAAACAACACGCACACGTACACACCTCCCCCGCCTCCCGCTGCCCAGCACCCTCACTGGCCGGCACGTGCAGCACGGATCCGGGGCATGCAGCCACTCGGCACATTGAAGCACACGCGCGGGCTGAGTCACAACACAGAAGCTCGCCCGGACACAGGAGGCGTTTGCACCAGCTCCCTGCACACTCGTGCCTGGCGTGCTCAGAGGGCCACCTGCAGTGCTCCGTAAGGGACAGGTCTTGCTTTCTCAGGGTCCAGCTGTCATTTCTCTGCCCAAGAACCTCCCAGGGCTCCCTACTCCCCACAGCATTGAGCCTCAAGAAGACAAACTTCTGTGAACTTTTAAGGTTTTGCAGCCTGCCCCACTGTACTCAGGGCAACCTTTTCTTATTCTTCCTCATTCCGTCTGCACTCTCCTCTGGCCAGCGGCTCTCCTCAATGCATCCCCACTAAACCTTCGCCCACACCACCGCTCCATACCCAGATGCCCCTGACTTCTCACCACCTGAGTCTCATCCCAGTCAGCCCCCGGACCTCCCCCATGTCAAGCTGTCTTGAAGCTTCCCAGACTGTTCTCTTCCCCGAGGCAGGGCCGTGACTTGCCAAGTGTTTCCTGTGTGTTGGCAAGACTGGAGTTAGAACAGGTGCCAGATCTTCCTCTTCCCCTATGTCACACCTCAGCGCGCACCTGGGCGTGCCAAATTCCCTTAAGAATCTGAACACCCAGGGAAGTTAGCAAAGTGTTCCTACAGCCACATTTGCATTTCATGCGGCTTCTCTACAGTCACTGTCTCTCTCCCTCCATCTTCACGCCAACCCTGGGAGAAAGGCAGAATGTTAAGTATCATGTGGTAGAAGGGACACTGAGGCCCTGGGAGGGAAAGTGACTTGCTTACAAGCACGGGGTTAACCAGAACCTCTGGGCTCCAGTCCAGCGCTCTTGACCAATACCATGCTGCCTGCTTTACCCATCTGCTTTGGTCATCAGAGCACCGTGGAAGCAAGTCCCATCTCTGCTTCATCTGGGGTTCATGGAAACTAGACCCATGAAGGCTAGGTCCTACCCTCCAGCCATCTGGAAACACAGGTGGATGCTATTGGTCTGATGTGCTCTTCCTCAGAGAATGTGGCCAGTGGAAACACGGACTGAGATATCAGAACGAGCTTCCTTGAAAAAGGGTCATGAATCAAGAAGGCAAAGCCAAGGGATGAAGTAGAATTCTTTTCCCTGGAAATCTCTGGGAACGGGGCAGCCTTTCACCCACTGCTGCCCCCCACCCACCATGTTGGTCCAGGCCAGGTAGGGGCAGGGGGAAAGAAGAAAGCCATTAGATTGTCCCGTCCCTCCCAGTCCCCTTTCCCAGCTGCTCGGCGTCCTAGCCCCGTGCCTGAGTGCCATTCTTACACTCACACCCGTGTGCACGCCCACACACACATCACACACACCTTGCTGGTCACAGTCACAGCCTGGCCTCTGTTGCTGTGGGCCAGAGGCCAGACACCCCTCTTGGGACAATTCAGAGTCAGGACTCAGAAGGGGGGCATCAGAGTAGCCCTGAGGGTAAGTGAACAAACTCCACATCTGGAGAAGATCTGAGTTCAAATCCCCAGACGTGAGGTGGGTCACTAGGGGCTGGGAGAGAGAAGTGGAGGACGGAATGGAGAAGGCGGAGAGCGAGGAGAAAGGAGGAGGTAGGCACCAGTGGGAGAGAAGTGAAAAGGGAGGGAAGCGCCATGCAAGTGCTGGAAAGAAGGGGGCAGGTGGGATGAGTCCCACGGCCCCCTCCGCAGAAACGACCACCTCCGGGACTCAGCGCTCCCTGGGGAGGGCAGGCTCCGCCAGCCCTCGGCCACACCTCCCGTAGCTCCGGATGGAGGGGGTCGGCTCTGGCCCCACCTCCCTCCCGGCCACGCCCGCCCGGTGGTCTCTTCCGACGCTTTCAGCCCCTACTCACCTGGGGACCCCGGGCGGGGCGCGGTTGGGGCGCGAGGGCACCTGGGGGGGAGGACCGAAGGGGTCAGGGGAAGCCCCCGGCCTGGAGGGCACGGGGGGCGCCCCCCCCAGGGCGGACCCAGCAGGCGGAGGCCCAGGAGCAGGGCCCCGCGACCCGGGCCGGGCTGGGGGCACGGCGGGGGCTCGGCGCTGCGGAGTGGGGCTGGACGTGGGTGACCTGCGGGCGACAGGGTGCGGAAGACAAGGAAGGGAGAGATGAGCAGCTCCGCCCCACCCTGAGCCCCGCCCCCAGCCCCGTGCCGGTCACGC